GGACCAAGGTTTAGGTTAGTTTTAGGGTCAGGTAAGTTTCTGTGAGGTTAATTTTAGAGTACATGGTCAGAGTTAGGCTATAAAACCAAAAAACATGAATGAAAGTCAATGGAAGGTCCCCACGGGGTCAAGAAACAAATGTGTGTGTGTGTGTTTACATGTATTTGTTACCTTGTGAGGATTTGGGACCATTTTTCTGGTACACACAATCATTTGAGAATCCATGACTCCGGGACCCAAAGGCTGGTCCCCATGAGTTTAAATGCTGTTTTTTTGTTGGCTATGGGGCTTCAGGGCTAAAGTATGAAGTAAGGGGTGGTTATGTTTAGAGTAATGGCTCAGGGTTAAGCTATTAAAAAAAATGGAAAATGATCAGAAGTCAATGCAGTGTTTATGAATATAGAAGAACGTTTGTGTGTTTATACAGTGCCTTAATGAGTAACATTGTGTTATCCTGCAGACATTTTTATACAAACTTGGGGTGGGAGCAAGAATAAATTCTCACTTCCCAATAAATAGATTCACATTCAAATGGTGGGATGCTTCTCCATCCATTATCTTTTTACCACTTATTCCTTTCAGGATCACTGGTGCCCGTATCCAGCAATCACTGTGTGAGGGGTGGGGTACACCCTGGACAGGTCACAGGTCCATCACAATTTAGAGTTACCAATTAGCCTAACAAGCATGTTTTTGGTCTGTGTGGGGGGAAACCAGAGTACCCAGAAAAACCCACACATGCACAGAGAGAACATGCAAACTCTACTCAGAACGTTCCCCGGCCGGGATTCGATCCAGCAACCTTCCTCTTGAGAGGGAACAGCTCTACCAACTGAGCCACTGTGGGATGCTTTTATTGACCCTAATTAAAATGAAGCATTTTCATATTTCTTGATCACTTGAAAATAGTGTGATAACAGAAATGGAGCAATTGTGTTGAATATTCAATGGCTAATTTAATTAACATTTTCTGATAATTGAAAAGTATAACTCATTAAAGGAATGCATGTCGCCCTCTGCTTTGCATGTCAATGTTTTAAACTAAGTTCCCATTCAATCTGTTAGCACTCAGAGTATGGTAATTGTTTATGGAGACTCGCAGCTACTACCACACAACATCTGTAAAAATTACAGGATTATTGACATTTTTTGTGTTGGTTCTTGTCACTCAATTATGGCAGCCATCTTAACTTTGATTGGCTCTAAAAATGAATCAGATGTAGTTGATGTACTGTATAGATGCACATCTAATGTTCAAATTAGGAGAGTTTCATTAAAATGCTTCTGGTCACAAGATATTTCGCTAACAGACACACAAACTCACATAGACATAGTTAATTACATGTTTGCCCATGCACCACCACAAAAGGCATGTTAATAATTGTACTAGATTTTTTGTTTTAGACATAAACATTTGTAAATGTGGCAGCAAAAAATGTTTTTTTCCACCTATTTGTTAAAATTACAAATCAATTACCCGCTTCAGCATTTGTCTGCCTCCTCTGAAACTCAGTTTTATGCTCCTAATTAACCTCAGTGATAACCCTTTTTAATAGCCAAGAGTTCACCACAAGTGTCAAACACATCCTTAATTTTCATTAACTGTTAATTAAACTTAAATCTTCTACCAATCAATTACTTCTTGTACAGTAAGTAGCTAATTGGCCAGCTATGCATTTGGCTGCCGATTAGCATTTTAATTAAATTTTATGCAGCATTGTAGCCGAGGTACAACAGTTTAGGACCAAGTTGAAGTGGAGTGGTTTCCACATCTTTAAAAAGCTGCTTTGTTGCTATAAAGCAGAGTGAACAGACTTCCATATTATATATTATCACCTAAGTTATAAAAACAAAGAAATAACTATACAACTGACAAAAATAGGTTATCAAGGAATTACCAAACAGGAAGATAATGTTGCTTACTGGAAATCAAGGACTAATCAGGGTTTTGAGAGATTTTTATTGCTCTCTGCCAGAAAAGATGGGAGATCATGTAATTGCTTTAAGGGTGGTTTTAGGGTTGCTTGACAAAACCTAAAATAAGTTTATATGCTACAAACTGTATTAAAAATATGTTCAGCCTCAGGGTAATTTTGTACTTGTTGGGATTGTGTCTTGTCTGTGGTCTCCCTCTTGTGTCCTCCCTGCATCATTGCTTATCATTTCTCCTCGGTCTGTTTCCTGCTGTTTACCTGTTCAATTAGCTCTCACCTGTCAGTAGTTTCCAATTAATTTTCCTCATTCATTCTCCGCTGGATCATTATATGGAATTCTCCATCTGTCTTGTTGTCAATGTGTTCCCCGTGGCTCCTTCGTGTTTTGTTTTATTTAGCTGCCCTGCCCTGATCTTTATTTTGCTTAATAAATCTTTTATTTAAAACTTTGTCCTCTGTCCGGATCTGGGTTCATTCCTCGCACCAAACCTGACAGAATGATCCAGCCACAACAACAACCCACCGGGAGGATGAATTATTTTGATTTTTTTTTTTGAGTGGTGAGAATTATTCCTCGGTGTTTGGGAAGGAGAGAAAGAACCCTGCCAGGAGACGTGGACGAAGGGGCCGTGACCCGGAAGTGGAGGTCCTCCCGTTGCCTCTTCTAGTGGAGGAGGAGGAGCAGAGGGGAATGCGGTTCTGGGGAACTTGCCTGGCATTTAAGACTGCTCCACCATCTCCACCCTCTCGCTCTCCCCATTGGCACGTCACCGGCGGAGAAAAGCGGTGGCCGGCCACTCCATAGCCATCTGGATTCTGCCCCACCATGCCTCCCGAGAGAGAGCCTGAGTATGATCCAGACTATGATCCCGAGAGTGACCCGTTCTGCCCTGAGTTAATTGGGATATAACCCTGCTGAGCCGATGGGTCCCTGCTTCGCCAAGCCACTGGATTATTGCTTCGCTGAGCCGATGGTTTCTCGCTCTCCAGTGCCGCCTCTGAGATGGTCCCTGACGTCTCCTCCAGTGCCACTGTCGAGAAGGCTCCTGCGACCTCCWGCCCCCAGCGCCTCCGGGAGGGTCTACGCCTCCACTTCCTGCGCTCCTAGTGTCTCCGAGAGGGTCGACGCCTCCACCTCCTGTGCTCCCTGCACCTCTGGGAGGGTCAACGSTTCCACCTCCATCTGCGCTCCCCAGAGGGTCGACACCTCTACCACTTCCTGCGCTCTCCAGAGGGTTGATGCTTCCACCTCCTGTGTGGAGGATCTTGAGGGGAGGGAAGTGGTGGTCACCACCCTGGCTGCTGTTGTCGTGTTCCTCACTGCAGCTCTTGTGGAGGTGTTGTCCACACCTGCTACAGCACCAGAGCTCACAGAGTCAGAGCCAGCACCAGAGTCCTCAGAGCCAGAACCAGGACCTAAGCCTACAAAGCCCCCGGGTCAGATTGTGAAGTCCCCGGGCAAGCCTGAGCCTACTGAGCCCCCGGGTCAGATTGTGAAGTCCCCAGGTCTGCCTGAGGCTCTTAAGGTCTCCACGCCGGTCTGTGCTCCTGAGATCTCCACGTCGGCCAGACCCGAGCTCTTTCCATCAGCTGCAGTCCCACCTGAGCTCTCATCGCCTGCTGCAGCTCCCCAGATCTCCACCCCTGCTGCAGCCCCTGAGGTGGTCCATAATAACCCTGCTGCAGCCCCAGAGGTGGTCCACGACCCTGCTGCAGTCCCCGAAGTCTCCACGTCATCTGCAGCTGCTCCCGAGATCTCTTCGCCTGCTCCATCATCAGATCCCACTTCATCATCTGGTCCTGCTCAGGCAGCATCATCAGCCCCTGAGCTGCAGTCAGCCTCCAAGTCTCCCCAAGCCCCGGGTGGGATTGTTAAGTCCCCGGGTCTACCTGTGTATCCTGAGTCCACGCCAGCCTCTGAGTCTTCAGTGTTTTTGGCGCCTGCTGCAGCTGGGCCTCCTGAGCCCTCTTTGCCTGCTGCAGCCTGGCCTCCATCGCAGCCTGCTGCAGCCCCATCATCTTCTGGTCCTGCTCCAACATCCAAGTCTTCTGTGTCCATGCCGGCCTCCAGTTTAAAGTCTTCGGAGCCGGTCCCTTCAGAGCCGGTCCCTCCAGAGCCGGAACCAGCACCTCCAGAGTCTCCTGGGCTGGCTCCTCCTGAAACCCTGGGTGGGATTGTTAAGTCTCCAGGCCGTCCTCCAGAGCTCCGTCTCCTCCGGGCCGTCCTCCAGAGCTTCGCCTCCAATACGGCCGGGTCCATAGTCGTCCTCCATCTTTGCTGCAGCCAGACCCCGGGTCACCCTCCTGAGATCCTGCCTTGCCTGTGTTGCGTCCTTGGGCACCCACCGGAACTTCCTGCCCTCCAGATGTGCCTAGGCCCATCTTTGTGACTGTTTTTGTTCTGCTTTTTTCCCAGGACTTTCCTGTCGGTTTTTGGTTTCATTTTCTGATTTTCTGTGTCTTCTGTTTTTATGTTTGTGTTTCCCTTGTTGTCTTTTGTTTCTYGCCCTTTGTCTTGTCTTTGTGTTTTGTACCCCCTACCTCCCACCCGTGCTAGTCTGTTAATCGTCTGGAGATGATTCGTTAAGGGGGAGGTACTTTCGGGATTGTGTCTTGTCTGTGGTCTCCCTGCATCATTGCTTATCATTTCTCCTCGGTCTGTTTCCTGCTGTTTACCTGTTCACTTGTCTCACACCTGTCAGTAGTTTCCAATTAGCCTTCATCAGCTGTTGTTCATCTTCTCTCTTCATGTATAAATACTCTTTCTGTTCATTCTCCGCTGGATCATTACATGGAATTCTCCATCTGTCTCGTTGTCCCTGTGTTCTCTGTGTCTCCTTTGTGTTTTGTTTTCTTTAGCTGCAGCTCTTTATTTTGTTTAATAAATCTTTTATTTAAAACTTCATCCTCCATCCGGATCTGGGTTCATTCCTCGCACCAAACCTGACAGTACTTAGATCATATTAAAATGCTAAAACAAGCAGAACTAAAACAATAAAACAGTGGCTAAATATTGAAACCAGCTAGAGTAGCTAAAAGCTAAATCTAGAAGAGCAGTAGCCAAAATTATAAACAGAAAAAAACCTAAACGATAAATAAGCACCAAAAACAGGAGCTTATTGTGTAAAACCAGAAAAATATTAGCTAAAATAACAAAACTACTAGCTAAAAGCTAAATCCAGCAAAAGAATAGCTAAAAACTAAAATTAGCAAAAGCTAAAGTAGTTGTGTGAATGTTTTATCTGCGTKCATACAACAACATTATTGCTTTGAGTTGTAGTAGCTAAAAAAATACATTAGTAATTTCATGTTTTGGTCACATTTCATTTTAATAAAGCTAAATCAGTGTTTAAAAAAGACTGAAGGGTGACAAAGAAATTTATTTTCCACACTCTCCAGGCTGCAACACTTAGTTCATCTATTTGTTGCTAGTCTTACCCTTAGTTACATGACCACTGCGGGATTCACAATTAAGCTGAATCAGGATGCAGGGTTTGGTTAACAAAAACAACCCCTAACTAGACAGCATGGGCATAAAAAAGACAAGTTGGAACATGAACTGGGTCTGAGCCAACAGAAGGGTCCAGAGTCCACTTACAGTACTGCCTCTGTTTTTAAAGTCTCTATGAATAATTGCAAAAGCACACCTTACTGATTTGCCTATTTGCAGGTATGTGCAGTTTGTTATTATTTTGACTTTGAAACAGGAAGTGAACTCCAAGAACATACAGTGGGTTTGAAGACAGAAGCTGCTAAACATTTCAGATATTTTCTGCTTAAAAACACTCAGTATGTTAGTTATACAAGAGAAAATACAGTGCAGAAGGGTTTAAAATGTTATAAGTCTGAATAAAAATGACGAATATGCAGCGTAGAACAATGAGCCAAAAGCAAGAGAAACTAGCATTTCCTGCTAAAATGAAGAGTTAAAGCAGACGGATCAAAAGCAAAAATTGGGTAAAGAGTAGCTTAAAAGTTAAAATCAGCAATACTACAGGATAATAAGATTCCCAAACCCATAGCTAAATGCAAACATTAGCAAAGGTGAATAAAAAAATTACAACCAGCAAAACAGTAGCTAAATCAACTTAAACAACAGCTAAAAGCTAAAATCATAATTAAAAGTTCAAATTGTTAATAGCTATAATTTTTTTCAAAATCACTTAACTAGTAGATAAAAGTTACAATCAACAAAACTTTGGTTAAAAGCTAAACTTACCAAAAGTCAAAGCCAGTAAATAAAAGCTCAAACCATTCAAACAGTGGCAAAAAATTATAGCTAATTGCCAAAATTTGTAAAACTGTAACTAAAAGTTAAAATTAACAAATTTGTAAATAAAATCCAAACCCAATAAAACAGCAGTTAAAAGCTAAAATCACCAAAACATCAGCTAAAAACGAGAATGAGCAAAACAGTAGCTAAAATTGGCACAAATTATAACCAAAGTAAAATCGGAGTTGAAAACTAAAAAAATCCAAGACAAAGGATTAAATTAATCTACAAAAGTACAAATAAAATAAACACATATAATGAATAGATAAATAAAATCACAATGATATCAAGGTCATCGTCTCAAAAGCCAGGGAGTAAAAGTATGTATTTAAACAAGATTTGAAATCAGGAAGTGAGGGAGCCCGCCCATCATGAAGAGGCAAACTCAAGAGTTTTAGACCTGCATCGGAAAAAGCTCCATCAGCTCTGAGCTGCATCTGGTGAAACATCTGAGCTGTCCCCCCCCCCCCCCCCCCCACTTATCCAGTCGTACCAAAGCTGGATAAGAAAAAAAAACTGGTCTCAGCTTAAGTTCAGACACAGGTCTCATGATGAAGCGTTGAAAAGCTCAGAGGTAAAACTTTAATTACTCCCAGCCTTTCATGTTCCTTCTTGTTTTTCTCCAATCAACACAACCAATCACTGGTCTCGATTTTTGCCTTCTTTGCAAACTTGATGACGAGGCTGTGCAATCAATGGTGCTCTCTCTCTCTCTCTCTCTCTCTCTCTCTCTCTCTCTCTCTCTCTCTCTCTCTCTCTCTCTCTCTCTCTCCCCCCCTCTGGAAGGTCAATTTCCTACCTCATCCAAGAACACAGAGGTGGTATATGTTGTAGGATCTAGCTGGAACTCGGAACAATGTTTGAGTTTTCCATCAAACTCCTGGGATTGAGAGTGTTTGTGTCCTGCATGGGATTAGCAGGCAACATTTTACTCATCATTTTCATCATTCAGACCAAGTCCTCCCATGTTAAATCATTTGAGTTGTTTCTTCTGGGACTCGCTGCGGCCAACTTGGAGGAAATTGTCATGATAAACTTGTACAATGTTGTCGTCCTCCTGACTTCGTCCACCAACGCCTGCACTTGGTGCTGTCGCTTGCTCAAGTTTCTCACCGTCTCTGGTGAAATGGCCAGCATCCTCTTCACGGTCGTCATCAGCGTCTACCGCTACCAGAAGCTGTGTGATGCCAAAAGGGTCAACCTCCCGGTGTGCCTGGACAGCATTCGATCTGCCTGGGTGATGAGCGGAGTTTGCGTGATGCTCTCGACGTTCGTCGGTCTCCCCATTTTTGCCATCACCTTTCACAGCTCCGTGGAAAACATCACAGAAAACAGCGGCGGCTGCCTGCCTGACTTCTTTTACTGCAGTAAAACTGACTGCCCCACAATCAACCTTGTGTACAAATACCTGTTCTTGCTATTATGCTACCTGCTACCTCTGATCATCGTTACAGTCAGCAGCTGTCTCATTGTCATAGTGCTTCTGAATCAGGAGAAGGCAGTGATACCGGTGGATGAGTTTGGCGGCACAAACCAGCATGACAAGGAGACTCATAGTCATAATCATGGTCACGGTCATGGTTTTGGTCTTGGTCTTGGTTTTGATCTTGGTCTTGGTCTTGGCCATGGTCATGGTCATCATGGTCATGATCATGGTCATGGTCATCATGGTCATGATCATGGTCATGGTCATCATGGTCATGATCATGGTCATGGTCATCACAGTTTGCATCGAAGTACAGTTGCTGTGATAGCAGCGATGTGGTTATTCCAAGTAGACTGGACTCTCTACCTGATCCTTCAATGGATTTTAAGCCCTAATGAATTTCCTTTTTGGTTGGAAATTGAGTTCTTTATCTCAACTTCCTACACATCTATAAGTCCATACGTGTATGGCTTTGGAAATCACCTGTTCTCCCTCAAAAACTTCAAAACAGTTTTTAAGCTTTAAATGAGCCTCTTCGTGTTTTGTACTAATCTTTCTAAGCTCTATATCCTGTTGTAAATGTTGGAATTTTAGAAGAGGTTTTTTGACACTTTAAATTAGGGATGGCCGTGCCGAGGCAAGTATGTGATCAAAGTACAAATCAAGACATGTTTTGTTGATCCATCTCAGTTTTAAACATAGTACAAAAAGGTCAGAGATGCTATAACAGCCACATGTACTGATTCAGTGTATTATTTTGATACTTGATATGAGATTAAGTATCATATCTCTGATTGGTACCAGGGAAAAAAGCCTTGATTAGGACATCCTTGATTCCCAAATTCCAAAGTTAACTGTTAACCAATATATTTTAATTTATCTAAACTCCTGAATTAAAACCTAATCAAATCATCTGTTCACCAACATTAATTTGGCTGTAAATAAATAAGAATTAATCCTTGAATAGTAACTGTCACTTAAGGCTGATATTATAGTTTTGTTTTATGGTTTATCATGTTTTTTATTGTTCTTGACCTTGCATGTTTTTTCTTTTTACTAGTTGTAATTTGAAGCACTTTTGGCCAATGGCAATTGTTTGAAATGTGCTATAAAAAGTTGACTTGACTATTTAATTATTATACCAAGTAATTAAAAATGTAAAAAATAAAGAACTCTGTAATAATTACTCTGCAATAATAGTAGTAGAAGTAGTAGTATTGTTATTGTTATTATGTTAGTAATTTTTATTATGGTGATTCTATTCTTTACCCAGATTATCTTTGAAATAAATACTTAAAAGACAAATTTGGTCTACTCCCTTGAATCCTTGAATTTAGCCAAATATTAAAGTAGAATTCCAAGCATTTACACAAATTCTTGAATTCTGATTATAAAAACAACAGAACAAATTAAGTACAGATTGAACTCCTGTGGTTTACTCAATATCTGTTAATAAACAGACCTGGTGCTCTTAATGTGAGCTATACAAGTGTAGGACAGTGCGAAAAATAATATGTATTACTCCATCTCTCTGCCAATATTTAATATAAGTTTATTTTACTTTTCATTGTGAATCAGAATGACTGTTAATTTTTCACAAAAAGAGCTGTGATGGACCATCAGCTGAAGAGGCTCCAGCTACTGGAGTTCAACTTTCTTCTGTAATTTTTTTTCAGAAGTTTATTTCATTAAAAAAACTGAATAAATTCTATATACAATAAAATAAAAATATATACTTCTGTAAGATTTTAAACCTTTGATCATAACTTCAGTAGAGTAGAAATGTAAAAGAAATTTCATCGTTTTTCTTTCCCTAAAGCTTCCTGTGAAACAGCAAGCTGTACTTGAAGAAAAAGATTGAAACCTGAGCAATTAAAAACATGTAAAAATGCTCAAACAGATTCATCCAGAAAGACGTCTAATTGTGGTCTTATCAGTCTCTCCTGACATAAATTTCTGCAGAGTATTAGCACTCCAACATCTACAGACTCCTTTAGAAAAGGACACGTCCTGTCTACTCTTGTGCAGCTCTCAGCTAAAAAGTGAGACAAACTCAGGATTTATTCAAGTAATCCTGCTACAGAGCAGGGTTGGTTCAGGGTAACTGCTATTTGGCTTTCTGAAACACAAAACCCAGGGTATGCACATAGTTACCCCAGAACTTACTCAGGATTTCCACTTATCCTGCTTTCTGAAATGGGGCTCAGGTGTTTTCTCATTATTGTTGTTTCCTCGTTTCCTTTACATTACATTTGTCACTGTTTCAACTTACAACTTGTTCTAAATTATTCTGCTTGTAGCTGTTTTTTTTTTTCATCATAGTTTGATTTTAGCAGCAGTAAAGCTCTTCGTGTATGAGAAGTGCTTTTAAAATGATTGATTTGATAGTCCCTGTTGTGTACTTGATTTTAGAGAAGTGATATTTTTTCAAGCTGTGTTTGTTCAGATGGTAAACACAAACTGTTTTCTTTATTTTTCTCAAGCATTGAATCAATCCACTGAGATGTGGTGTAACAAATAGCTGTCTCTGCTTCAGTCTGAAACACGGCAGCTCACACGACGCCTTGTTTCTGTGACTGCAGCTCCACACACTGAGGCTGGCAGCCTCACGCACAGAACAACGTGGCCTTTATTTGGAGTGTAAGCAGGGAGAAGAAGCAGCTCTGCTCCTCGCACCATCTCAAAGACCTCTGACAGAGTCGTCCAACAGCTGGAGTTGGTTGACTGTTTCTCATGCATATCAGCACTTTTTTTTTTACATTAAACTTAGATGTTTTAAAGATAAAAACTTTAGCAAAAAGACTGGTGTGAAGAATGAAAGCTGCTCAACTATAGGATGAAAATAAAAATTGAATCTCTGATTTTGATCAAGTTGTGCTTGCTAAATGATTATAAAACCTGTATTAATGGATAACATAAAATATCTAAAGCGTGTTTTGTTTCTAAAAACTTTTCAACAATCTGTCAAACATCTATAATCAAAGTTTTAACCAGGCTGCAAGGCAATTCAAACTGGTACCAAGTTTTAACATTCACATTTTCCTGTTATAGAGGTTATACTGAATCGGCGCACTTGTTGACAACTACAGGCAAAATAAAACATGTCCTTACACTACCTTGAGTTTTTAAAAAACCTCTTACATTGAAATTTTGTTTATGTTTTACAAAGAAGCATTTTACTGTAACGTCTAAATGCCAAAAAGTTAATTCAACTTTTTTTAATTTAATTTGGAAATTAATTTTATTTTGAACCATGTAATTATAAGTATCTTCTCGTTATATTTCTTCCTAGAACTCACACATATATTTTATTTAGCTTTAATAACTTTTCTGTTCTGAATGGAGAAGTTGAGTTGCTGTGCAGTTTATAGAGTAGCCATTTTTAAGACAATAATGGTAAGATTTAGCACTCTGGTGTTTCTTTGTGCTRATTGCTTAGTCTTAATATAACTTTAAGCATTTTATTGACCTTTTTACAGTTACTAATGCACATGTGTAAAATCAGGCACCACAACCACAAATACATTCACAGCTATCCTGCTTTTTGGTTGACTTTTATAGACAAATGCGTTTATTTATTTATTTTTGATCAAGTCCTCTCCAGCAGTGTGGCATTCAAAATAAAAAAAATAAATTAGTTTTGTTGTTATTTTACATTGTGATCATGAATCCCTCAATGTGCAATGTTGGTGGAATGACTAGAGTTTACAACGTATGCTGGATATGAACACTGTTTAGTGAAGTGTATTTCAATGAACTAGAATTAGGCCTTGTGGGGGGTTCTCCGGGAGTATGGGGTACCGGGCCCATTGATACRGGCTGTCAGGTCCTTGTACGACCGGTGTCAGAGTCTGGTCCGCTTTGCCGGCAGTAAGTCGGGCTCGTTTCCGGTGAGAGTTGTACTCTGCCAAGGCTGCCCTTTGTCACCGATTCTGTTCATTACTTTCATGGACAGAATTTCTAGGCG